TTGACACATGCCAGCTTTAACAAGCATGCAGTACATAGGAGCACACAGTAGTACAGTCTACTGCTAATCCAACTGATGCTCATCTTACTTGCTTAGATACTATTATCTCACAGTTTTCTGAAAAGATTATTTTTGAAGCTATTAAGACAAACTTTCTTCCCTTGCCATTGTAGCATACAATAATTACAACTTCCTTTGATGTTCTCTCCTTTATTTCTATTTTTTTTTAATTTTTGTCAAACTTTATTTCACATCTTTATCAAAACAATGTTTTTCCCCGTGCATGGTTTTTATTATTTACATAATATAATGGAGCATGATTATGTGCAATACCTAAATAGGAACCATTCGTACAGATCTGTAGATCTAACTCAGAACCAAGGTACCTAATATTGAAAGCAAATCTGAAGTTTTCAATGAAGTAAAAACTAGGACTGAACACTGCAATAAATCAGAAGTAGTGCCTCTTGTACATACTTAACTATTTAAAGATGAAAACAGGCACTACCACAACATTGATCTAACTATACTCATTATATATAAAAAACACAAATTTCATACAGCACAAAAAGCCTTCCATTATAACACAGAAGTGGTATTACCAGACAAGCATCAGTGAGGCATACTGCCTTTTCTAGTTGTATTAGTGTCAGGGCCAGAGCTTCCCCCACCACCACCACCTCAGACATTAGGGTGAGAGCTAGTCAACCCCCAGAAAATGACAAAGAGCCTAGCTGGTAATGCAAAAAGCAAACAGAGTTTAATGTGCCAGCATGCGGGGGTCAGATTGCACAGGCCAGCCAAGCGGATCGGACCCCGACTTAACATAAGGCTGGAGATTATATACCCCATTTTGGCTGTAACATATATCAAAGTCAACTCAAAAGTAACAAATTTAGACTTATGTGGCTCCCAGGTGCAAGCAGTCTATTCTGTTCTCACACTCACTATTTACGTTCTCACACTTATTGTTTAAGGCTCATCCTATCCTGGCACCCTTATCTTTATGGCTCCTCCAGTCTTTTTATGGCTCCTCCAGTCTTTTTATGGCTCCTCCAGTCCCTTGGACGGGGGAACTATGCCCCTGCCTTCGTGCACCTTGGTTAGATGGTAGATAAGTTCACAAAGAAACAAGGGAGACAGATTTATCGTTAAAGTGGAGCTTTCCCACAGTTCAGGCGCCTCCTGACCTAGCAAAGCAGGGCTCATTGCCACAAAGGACCTAATATTGCCTAACGCTAATATTCTAACATCCTAACATACTAACATTATACCAACACTCTAACAGTTGTTATTGTACAATGCTGTACATAGTGCAGCCCATGCAATGCACCCAAGAACACTAGAGGCCTACACCCAGGTACAGTTACTATGAAAAAGCAGCCCTCTGCTGGTGGTGTTGGATACCACTAAGATGTCTACTGCAGCCATGTTGGGGAGGATTCTCCATGCCGAAGGGCACAGTTACAGTAAGAACTGAAGTCTTGAAGGAAGTTTTAATCATTCTTTCTTGAATCAAAGCATTCAACAAAAGATGTACATGAAAATCAGCTGTTTAGATCCCTTTTCACCTTAAAAATTCAGATGCATGTTACTCAATAGAGCTGCTGTATGTGAAAGTCAAAACAGTTTTATTTTCTTCTTGTAAACAAGTTAATCCTAGTGCAGTTCAGTGCTAAACACTTTCAGCAAAGAGAAGGCAGACATCCTCTGGTGCCGGACATCAGTGTCAAAGTTCACCTCAAAACCCTGTTCCTGGCTCAGGTCTGATGTTTACCTTTTACAGAAATCATTTAGTTGACAGCTTTTAGAAGACCAATTTAACCAGGTTATGTCCGCCACCCAATACTGGGCTTAACAGAAACCAAATGATCCCTGGATGTTTTCCTGCTCCAAGAGCATGTGGAAATTAAGAGGGTGAGGTTGAAGTTTGATAGAAATAGACTATCAGTCCTTTTCTGGCGTACCGTTTTTCTACAAATATAGGCAAACACCACGAGCCGAAAGATTATACTTTAATTACATTCCCAAAAGGCAGATATGCTACAAACATGCAGAGATTTCATTAATGCTGTTTGGCATATGGCAACACCATTTTGTCCATTATTTGCGTGTATCAGTTTACTGGGTAGATTTTTCATCCAATTCTAGTCAAGGGAGAGCATATATGTACACTTTGTAGGGCTATTTCTGTCTAATTCTGCCTGTAACAAACACTCACACATCCTAGAATATCAATTATAAGACCAACAAGTATAAAGTCAAACTCTGGAGAACATCAAAGAAAAATGGCCATGCATCTGCTCTTTAATGTTTTCCCACCATATATTAAAATAAAAACAAACTTTCAGTCTCTTCACAAGTAGCACTCTATAGTCTCTGGATTTTACAGCCACAACAACTAGATTCTCTTTCCTGGTTTTCGCTGCAGCTTCTGCTTTGTAATCATAAGGAGAGTTGTGCTTGTCAGAGTAAGGATGAAGTCCACAATACAAATTCCCACATTGGCAGCAGAACCCTGGAAGGCCAACTTTCTTTCTATACATGAAACATCTGTTCTTCTTTGGCTTGGGTAACTCCGGTAACAGGTACCTACTTCTCTTCACTCTGAGAAGTACTGGACTGAGGAACGGATGGACTGGGCTGAGTGACCACCGGCTCTGACAGCTCTGCTTTGGGGTAGTTCTTCTGTCCTCTCTTGAAATGCTCATTTCTGTCATTTGCTGAGTTACTGGCAAGGCAGCCACAGGCACACTTCTTGTTTTTTCAGAGTTGCTTAAGCTAGCGACTGCTCTTTGTACAGATGCAGAATCTGAGGTAAGACTGTTGGAAACACTAGCTGTCCCACCGGGCTCATTGCCACTTATTCTGTTGTCACTGAAGGTGATCCTTGTTAGCAAACAGAACACGTTTCATTTGTCCTAGGAGTCCCATAAAAGCCACATCCTGTGCTACACAGCATGGGCCCGGGGTCTGGTTAGTCCCCTGAGCCATATTTTTTAGTTTGTGGAGCCCCTGGGAGCTAGGGGGTGGGGGTGGGGGGGAGGGAGGAGGGGAAGGAAAAGGAGAGGGGAGGGTATCTGAATGCACAAGCCAGGCTTGGCTTGCTGGAGGCCTGGTCAAGGCCTCTGGAAAAAGCCAAGCTTTCCGGGTGTTCTAGAAGTCGCAGCCACTGTGACCACAGGCCCTGAGCTGGTTGGAGCCCTTGCCGCCGCCGCCGCCGCCGCCGCCGCCGCGGGGACCTGCTTTGTTCTTGCTGCAGCAAGTAGCTTCCTGGACGCACTGGAGCTGGGGTCGGTGGGAGGAGGGAGGCGAACGGGCTGGATGGCGAAGATTCGGCCTTGTGCAGACCGGAGGCCCCCTGCTAGAAGGGCGCTTGCCCGTTGTCGCCTTGCCGGGAGAAGGACAAGGGATCTCTCCGAGCCTCCGCTGGCGAGGCTGTTTGGCTTCCAGCATGCAGCAAGCAAGCAAATGAGCCAGCTAGCAAGCAAGCAAGCCTGCCGGCGGGCCTGTGGGCGACCCGCACTCCATTGCAATGATCTGTGATTATTTCTGGCTGAAACCCATGTCTGGAAGCATTGGTGAGTGAATCAGTGTGTTGAATATTATTCCTGGGCTATTATTTACCCTTATACATGGAGAGAGAAACATGCCATACCAAGATACAAATACTCACCTCACTTCACCAAGTTGGAATTTTTCTTCGACAAAAATTAGAGAAAACATTCACAATGCTTGCCTAAAATTCAGATGATTATCATTTAATCATCAAATCTGAAGCGCTGCGTTTACATTCCACCCAGAAAGCAGACTAACGTGAGGAAAATATTACATAACACACACCCAGTTATTTCCTGTAACGACTCAGTAAATCACCAAGTAAACAACAGCAGTTACACTTAGAAAGAACACTTAGAGAGTGGATAACCATGTGAAAGAGGCTTCTGGTTTGTTTGAGGACTTTGTACTGTCTGAAATTTAATGACTCTTTGCACAATTCAGCTTCTTGTAAGTAGGGACTAAGGGAGATCTTGATTCTGTTCTAATAACCCTGTTCAATAGAGTAGTAATTAACATGGCATTTTAGACACATCACATGGTTATGCTATTACAATGGTTAATTACATATTAGAGAAAGCTGTCTGACAACTATGATTTGTTAATATTTCATGCAATGGTTCCACTAATATCAGCATATTAGTCTTTACTACTATATCATAAACCCTCTCAAGGAACACCAAAATGGTTACTGTCACATTGTGACCAGTGAGTGACACTTGAAGTTTATGGCAATGAGTCTAAGGATGAGTGATTGAGCACTTGGTGAGAAATAAGTCTGCCCCACTTGTAAGGATCATGCTCCCAAGTCTTCTTTCTTTTCTTTTAAATAAGTCTTGTTTCCTAAGCGTAAAATATTAGTTGCTTTTTCATGTCAAAAGATTAAATAATTGAAATTCTCTCAGAAACACTTTCAGTACCAACATGCTCAGCAAGACTTCTCTGCTATAAAGCACACCTGTTACCTGTCATTTCTTCCTCAGCTCTTTGACAACCAGGAGCATCTAACAGAGCAGACTGACTCTGAGTGAGGCAGCAGAAAAGCACACACAGAGCAACTGGAGCTATGGTTTTTGGAAATGTAACAAATAGCAACCATGAGTGCTCACCCAGGAAAGTTGTTGGTGAATTCACTGAGAAATACATGCACAGTTAAAAACACAAGTAAGGATTTCATGCATGTTAGATAATAATAATAATAATAATCAACATCTACCCACAGTTCTCTACTTCTGAATATCCAGAGTCAACTCTTGTCACACTGATGCATAAAGAATCTCTTTGACAAAAAAAAAAGAGACAGGTAGAGAGAGAGAGAAATAGGAGCCCAGACGGTCACTTCTAATCCATCAACTTTTCCAGCATGTAAACATTACAATTTGTTAACAGCCATTCCAAGCAAATCAACACTCAGTGACTCAGCACCCCTGGGGTTTACTTACATCTCTAGGAACTATAGTGCCGAATCCAAGCCTTGGTATGTAGTGTCCATCATTCAGCTTCACAGAACGACTGAGTTTGAGATCCATCCTTCTCCACGCTGAACTAAACTGACTGTTTCTCCTTCCCTTTCCTATGAAACAACTGTAGCACAAGTCTCCAGCATGCTTTATTTACACTAATCTAAGTTGGGTGGAGCCTAACCTGCTTCCGTAGTTCAGTGAGTCATGCATGAAGTATGACAGCTATTCAGGACTTACAAAAGTTAGCTCACTGAACTGGGAAACCATGCAATTGAACTAGAAGATTCTAACCTCCAGACTCCCAAGATAGTTGTTTGTGTCTTTGTTTTCAACAAATTAAACTTTGATGCTCAGTCTTATCTTGAGGATTTGCTTTTCGGGAACACCACTTAACAGGCAAGATGTAATGAAAATTTGCATACAGCTGTCACTGAGTAAAGCTTATTTTGCCATCATCATTATTCGGTTAAGGACACGGTCTCACTGACCAACTGAGAGAAGGTCACTAGCAGCACAGAACACCAAGGACCATGAACACAAGCTGAAATATGCATCCTTCCTCTTCTTCATTCTCTAAGTGAGCATTTGGAACAAGGAACTTATGCAAAATATCCACTCATATCTGTGTGCTTTGTGATAAACACATTCTTTTTGTACCATACTAATATCCATGAGTGAATTTGTACATGCTGGCAGAGTTTGAGATATCACATGTTTTGTATCCCAAAAGTTTTGAGGATGTAGTCCATCAGGTTTAATCATGGAGAATTCACAATTTGAAAATCAGCTACCTGAGTCCTTACTCTAAGTGTAGCCATCAACATCTTTTTGCAGTCTCCTGTAGTCAGTGCCTGACTAAATGAGCACTGGGTGTGCAGGTCAGTTGAAGGTTTCTATATATACTACTACAAAAGGGTGATGAGTTTTTCTATACATTAATTTGATAACTTCCAGTAGCATAGCTAAAAATTTGACAAGAACGAAAAATATACATAATTTAGCATTTAGAGGCTCCTGTTCTACTCTTTCCACTCGCTATATTCAGAAGTATTCAGTGCACACTCCACCAGTCTAGACCACACTGAAACAATTCTGAACTGAATAACCTGGAATACAAAGTGCACTAGGATATTCTACATGCAAATCAGCAGTTGCCAAAGGCCAAAACACAAGGCTACAGATAGCCTCACATGGTAAAGGAGCTCACAGATGTTGCATGCTCACTGAGCAATCACTTTCTCCTGCTCCCTGCTGTTTTAAGGATCTGCAAGGAAACAGTTCATTGTCAAAGTACTTGGATCCCTGCCACCCACACAGGAAGCCAACATTCAGTTCCAAGTTTCTGGATTTGCTCTGTCACTGACCCATCTCTCTCTCTCCATTTCAAATGAGTCAAAATAAATTTATAAAAGGCTAGACATCCTCACTTCTCCTCTGCCTCCCTCTGCTTCCCTTTGCCTCTGAGTAATACACACCTCATTGGAGCAGGAGACATGAAATAGAGATATTTTCTTCCTTTCCTTCATTCATGTCCTGCAATGCCCACATTTGCAAACTATTCTGAAAACCTACATGTCTGAATATGCAAGTGAGAACATAGTCAACTTCAATTTTATCTTTTCAAAGTAGATATATAGACTCATTTTTTGAGAAGTGGAATTAGAGAGTAGTCAAATAGACCAGGACTTGAATTCTGCTCATGTTCTTACAAATGTGTCATGTATATTGGTTGCTTAATGTAAATGTCATGTCATTTTCTTCTCTGTAAGATGGATATAAACCTACTGTAATGAAACTTAAGACTTGAGTGAGTCAGCATTTTTAAAGGATCAGGAGTCATTTCTCTTTCTTCTCCAATTATCAAATATGATCCTGAGGCATATGCTGTGGAATATCAGTACTTAAAAACCCATTATTAAATCTGAAGATGAATCTCTCATATTATGTGCCATGGAGTTATAATTTTGGCCCATTTGTATTTAAAATGTAAAATTAATGTGATTACAAGTAGTATGCAGAAAACAAATGAGCACTAATATTTGATTCTTTAAGTTACACAAATGTCTCAGAGATTGTATTGATCTCTACAGAAATGATTGCTTTTCAGACTTTAGAAAGTTATGTGTAATGTATTTATTTCAACTCAAGTTTTAGTGGTTTCAAGCACTCAAAATGACTTTAAATAAAATACTCATTTAGATAACTAAACTCACAAATCCTTATACTAAATTTCAAATAAAGCCTTCCTCAACACTCAGTAGACTGAGGAACAGAAAAAAAAAAACAACTCTTCAGTTTGGACCTCCTATAACACATATGCTAGGCAATAAAACCAGAAATTCTTTGACTGGATGAAGATATTTCTTGATATTACCAGATAGGGAACATGCCTTTCATTTCATTCCAAGGAATTTATGCCTCTATACAAAGATTTGTGTGTCATATAAACTTTTAGGAAAACAATGGGATAAGGACAATCAGTATCTCACTCTACTAAATGTGTGTATAAAAAAGAATCCATGGAGAATTTTCTACTAACACCTTCTTATTCACATCCCACAACTAAAGATTTATTTCTTATGTACTTTGTAGTCTACTTGATTCCTTATCTTTTAATTCATTTTAATTTAGCATTGAACTTTAAAATAGCATCTGGAGCACAAAGCACATTACAGTTTTGGTGAGTATATAAATGACGATTTATATAACGATTACCAACGCAAACATAGATGGATGAGTAAGTGACTTAAAACGAGTATTTAATGTAGCAGGTAAGAAGCCCAAGCCCGTATGTGAACACTTGGAATAACAGCAGGGCTCTGTTCCCAGGAACAGCCAGTGCTAATGCACAATGGTATGGACATTGTGTTGTGCAGTAAGCAGTCCTTGCCAGAAATTTAAGACTCTTGGCTGGAGTTCCTGGCTCCTGGGAATGTGCAAGAAGCCAGTATATGGCTCTGCCTGTCTCTATATTGCTCCTTGTCTATCACATTGCCTTACTAATAAAACATAATTTCTAGAAGAAATAAGAAAATACAAATAAAACAGAATTCTATCTGTAAGAAAATCAAGGGTGTAAATGCTCCAGAACTGTAATATTTCTCTGTGACAGACAATAATTTACTGTTATCCTCTATAATTTATTGCTTTTCCCCAAAAACCTAACATATATTTTACTAATAGTTTTGTAAAAACAAAGAAAATAGACATTTTTATAGTTAAAATTTTATTACTTCCTATGACAAAGGCATCCACCAGAGATACAGACACTACTGATTAGTCACACCAAGGAAAGACAGATACTCTCCGCAATGTTTCAAAGGCAAATATTCCAGATCAACATTCCAAACTTCACGATCAGTATTCTTCATTAAATGGATAATTAGGGTGATTAGCAGCACTGAAAGAAAATAAGTGATATTAATTTAAGTTTCTGTATTGCAGGGTGGGTTACTAAATAATTCAGCTAAAATATTGTAAAAGCCATATTCATAAATATAAATTCTGATTCAACACAAGTGCTCATATATCTAAGCTCTATGATGGTGTGCAAATTTCTCTTGCATACCTATTCCAACAAATCAAGGTGGCATACAGATTCATTGATATTGCAAATGCTAAGAAATGGAGCAAAAATGTTAGGGTCAAGTCACGCTGAGATGCAGTTTTTGTGCTTAGATCAAGAGAATGGTGGCAGAAACAGCTTTGTTGTTCATTCCCATTCATTCAGTCAGTCCTCTGATAGTGGGCATCCTCAATGATATATGCTCCTCCTTTAAGGATTTATCTATTGAGTACACAAACTGCCACTCTACTTACCTGATCTACAAGCATTTCTACCCTACCCTTACTAATAAACTTACTAACATAAGTTAGGGACAACTCTGCTTAGCATTTAAGGCTCTGTCCCACCAATATCACAAAAAAAAAATTGTTTAATAACACTCTGTGGCTTGAAAATTCAAATTTTGCTAATAAAAATTAGGAAGTAATGCTTATGGCTCAAAGATTTGGCTCCTTACCACATACAGGAGAGTTATACTGGTTTCCTAGCTCCAAAATCTGGCCTTAGACAGTCACACCAGCAGTTATCTCTCACACATAGATGCATGATAGCTCATGTAATTTAGAAATCAGCATTACAATTTGTATATTTCCCATTTTCCTTCTTCCTTTTTGTGAAAATTGTCTTACTTAATTAAATCCCAACAATAACTACAAAGTGAATAGTTCTGTGAAAGCATTTTGTTATGAAAACATATTCAGGCCCTGGCAAGGTAGCCTAGTGGCTAAAGTCCTTAACTTGCACACATCAGGGAACCCTTATGGGCAATGATTAATTTCTGGGTGCCCAGCATCGCATTCCGATTATTCTCAGGTTTTGATCTCTTAAAATGTTACTGTTAAGAAAATAGGAATAACTGTAATATAGGACAAACTGCTCCTGTGAAATAATGCTATGCAGTTTTAATCTTTATTCTCTTTAT